TCATTCTGATATCAAATTGATATCGCGTCTTGACTGGGTGAGTTCTAAAGGTACTATGCAAGTAATTAACAGGCACTCTTCATTCGTCACTATTTTCATTTAATTTACCTGTTTCTAAACACTATATCCTGTAGTACCATCAAAACCAGTCTTGCATCTAAACGTCAATTTAGTTAATTTTTTAGCATTGTGGTTAAGGCAGTAGTTTGTATACCACATTTTTTAAGAGTGTGTTTTAGAAGATCTTTTAGCGGTACTTGTACTGAATAGCCATCTATTTGAATGTTCTTGGGATAGCATTTAGCTTTTGAAGATCTTATGCCATTATCTAATGGATATATGTGGCATCCGTTTTTTCAGCACCATTTCCTAGAAGCTGATATGTTGATTTTGATATATCACCATTAATAATGAATGCTAAAACTTCATCAGATGAAATACATCTTAGCAGGTTTAATGGGGTTTTTATTTTAAATAACAGAAATTTTTGTGCCAGTTTTGTACTTAAACTCACTTCTTAGTTTCAATTCTGTTGCATGAAGTAATTTATGGCTAAATAAAGAATTAAAAACATTGTTAAGCTATTCTTTTTGTTCTGTTACAAGCTTTTTCAAAAGAGCAACCTGGTTTCCTAACTTCATTAACTGATTTTATTATTTTTATATTTGTATTGTAACTTCATTAAACATTTTTATGAAGAATAAATTTTTTACTTGGTTACATATTATTAACTTATTATTAAAATGTTATTGAATTGATAAACATTTTTATTATTAAGGTTTATTATTGATTACAACAACAGTCTTAACATTTTTATTATTGAAGTTTATTATTGATTACAAACAAAAAAACTTTTTACTTTGTTTTTCAAAGTTGATAAACATCTGATACAAGGTATCAGATATACTTTGAACGAAGTTATAAATATTAAAAACCAAGATGTTTGTCTTAAGGTTATCTAAGTAAAGCCATGATCCAAGCAGGGATACAGAGTCCCAAAAGGACTCCGGATTTGTGTAACAAAAAATTACTTCAAGTATTGTGAATTTCAAAATAGGTATCACAGATGTAATGACTTGCAAGGCTGCTCAGTTTTATGGCTTTTTATTATAAAATTTGTGCTGGCAAACATCAAAATGAATGTACAAGCAACACATTTTTTGGTTTCAATTTATTTCTGAAAATCTTTTTGCATTTTGATTATATCTCGATTTCAGAAATAATATTTGTTCAAATTAATTTATATATTTTTTAGACTTGGACTTTATTTATATCATTTCAAGATATTTTCATATAACCTTCATAAAAAAGATAAGATATTCAAAATATGAAAATATTTTATTTCTATTAGTTTTTCTAAATATTACCTGTTATAAAAATATCAATAAGATAACACCTTTCTTAATGTAATGCTTTTTATTTTTTTTTTAATTAAGGTGTAGGTGTATATAGTAGTTTTTTAGGTATTAGCAGGTGTACTAGACGATTTACTTTCCTGCAACAAAATCAAAAGAACCTTCAACTACAAACCAATTTAAAATAATTTTCATAGCAGCATTTTCCAAGAAGTATTTTCCATTTATTTTATTTACTAATTAGATTACTTATATTTCATAATTTCTTTAAATTATTTTTGGAGATTGTTTAATTTTGGTGTTTTACAAAATTTTAAGTTTAAAAAATTATTTTACATATAGGTTTTTAGTTTTTTAATAATTAATAATTTTTAAAATTAATAAAAGTTTTTTAATAATTAATTTTTATTCAGAAGTTCAATTATAATTGTAGTGTCCAATTTTTGTAATTCAAGTTTAGCGCAAAATGTCTTTACCAATAGAAACCACTTGCAAAACTTTTGATATTGATTGGTCTATTAAAATTTAACTTCTATTTTCACATGGTTTCCATTTACTATGACTGTGAAATAAAAATATGTGTGAAAACAGGCACAAACTGGCAATCGGGAGATTTTTAAACAAAAATTGACGCCGTGCATATTTGAATAGAATGTGACAATTTTTTTTTTTCAAAACTCGCCGTTTTGTCAATCTTAAAAACGGGGAGTTAATTTTAATGAAGAATTTTATAATATTTTAGGAGGATTCCAAATCTGCAAAAAAAAAAAAAAAAAAAAAAAGGTTGAGACGTAAAAATGACAAAGGTATGACTAGTTAAAGAGGAAAAACTATAATTAAAAAAAGAAAAACTTTTTTGTAAAATGTTTTATTAAACTCACAATTTATTATGTTGAATTTTAAGAAAATATTTTATTTAGTTAAAAAACAAAAATAAATGATCGTAAAAATTCTGTTTTTGCGAAGGTTGTTTTCAGAAAAAATTGGGAATTTTTTATTATTTTAGACAGGGAACTTGACAGTAGGTATTTAATGGTTTTACATGTGTTTAAAATAAAGGGAGTTCAGTTTTGTGAAGAATTTTATGAAAATTTCGAATCCAAAAATTTCAAAAAAAAAAAAAAAAAAAAAGGTTCAAAAATGTCTTAAAAGGGATTAGAGGTTAGAAAATTGCCACACCAAATATTAATTAAAGGGATTAGAGGTTAGAAAATTCTTTTAAAATACCAAATAATTTTTTCTTAAGAAAAAATTGATATTAGAAAAGCTTTTCTTACTTCACTGAATGCTTTGTGAACTCAAATACGGCAAAAAAAGCAAAAGCAAAAAAAAAAAAATTTTATTAATTAATTTGTAACAAGTATAGTAAGAACTTCATTCGTTAGTAGTTCGCCATGGTCTGACTTTTACTTCTTGAAGCCTAATGAGAAGGTGGTTTTTAGTTCTTATGTTTTTTAAATGGCCAATCTGCCTGCTTTTCTCTAAGCTATCTTTCTAAGTTGATTACTTCCTATTTTCCCTTTTCTTCATAATCACTTGGGGGAAAGTCGGGTAGCCCCGGACGGCGGGTAACTTCGAACACTTGATGTACAGCTTAAACTAAAGAAGCTATGTGACTTTTAATACTATATTAACATTATTAGAGTAAAAATATGGCATATGCAAAATATCTTTCATAAAATATTGAAGCGAATGACTGGGAGGGCAAAATTTTGTTTCCAACCACCAGAAGAGCGATATATCATCATATTTGATTAACATATTAATATACCTAATTTTTATGTAAACTAATAACTTTTTAATGATTAAGATTTTTATTTACAATTGTTATTTAAAAAAAAATTTCCTTAAAAACTTTAATTCACTGGTTTTAAAACTTGTATTTGTGAATGAGGTATGATCGGGTGGTATCAGACACATGTTTGGAGGGTGGCTCCAGACAACTTAATTCGTTTATATATTAACAATAAACAACTTTTTTTATATAAATATTAATACATTTAATATAATACACAAACCTATAAAAGTAATTCATTTAATTCCAATAAAAAAACATATTTGAAAAAAGTGTTATTTAAAGTGTTTATTTTCATTCTAAAAAAATATGTTCATAGTTATGTTTATATTTTTAAATGATGACATTTTCATTCCTTGTATATCAGAAGCAATTTTTAAAGGTGATTTGTTTTTAAATGCATCGAGAACAGTCCAATGCTAAATTATTATATATTACATTTGCGTCACACTAATTTAATCATGATTTTACATAGTTTAACTATGATTTTACAAAAGTAAAACCATGGTTAAACTATGTGTCCGGCGCCAACCTCCAATTTTGAAACATGCCTTTTTTCTAACATTTTTTCTTTTATGTTTTGTATATTATTAAGATACACAATAATTATTTTTTTTGTTTCTAATTCGATAGATGAATGTTTGAACTTTTTAAAAAAATCTTTTGACACTTTGTTTTTTCCTTGTGTCCGGGGCTATCCGACTCTCCCCTACTTTAGTCCGTGGAGGCGGGGCCAATACCATATAGAGATTTGAACCTGTGCTTTGAGGATCTTGGTATTTGGTCTCTGTGTGGCAATTAGCTTTAATTAGAGGAGAATAAACCACAGTACGAATGATACTTCATATAAACAATTAATTTAGATCTTCAAATATAGTATTATATAACAGAAGTTATATTCTGCATGTAAAAATTTATAGAAAACGAACGAATTTGTTTACTTTATATTTCTAGTTTAAGATTTATGTTTAATAGGATAAGGAATGTAAATATTTATATATATAAAAAAATAATTTCGAATAACTAGACCCAACAGACACAAGACAAAATCTAGATATCTCAAATTAACGATTTGGAATTGTTTAAAAAACTCTTCACTGCTGGATAAAAACACGATCTATAAAAAAAGGTTTGAAAAAAGAAATGCTTAAGAATACAAGATTTTTGTGGAGAGTAGAAAAAAAAATCATCTAGAAACCAAATGGAGAGAAAAACATAACCTGTCTATTCTAAAAGTATCACAACATTGATATTTCTATGTTTAACATTAACCTTTTTAATGTTTTTAGTTTATTTTTTAACTTTGAAACTGCATTATATAAAACTTAAAAAATGCTCTTACCAGAAATTTAAATTTTACACTATCTAGTGTAAAATTCAAATTATTCTGGAATGGAATTTAAAATTTGATAGTGGATAATTGCTCTTATATACAAACCCTCAAACTGTAAAGAAACTCGTGAAACATGTTAATAAAACTCATGAAACATGGGACTCAGATCACAGAAACATTAGAACTATCCAGATTTTATATAAAAAAAGTCATAGAAAGCATTAAACCAGGAAAGTTTGAAAAATAATGTTAAATCACAGAAATCTGATAAAAAAATAGTTCAACCACTTTCTGTTACATCTTTTATTTCTACATCTCTTCTACTACTAAACACACTGTTTACTTAAATAAGTATTAAACAAATAATATTAAAACCACAACAGTCACCTTATTAAAAATTACATGAGCAAACAGTACAATGTTTCTGATGATATTTTATATGTAAATCATTTTCATAAAAAAAGTATATAAACACTTTAAACATTAACAAATACTTTGGAAAAGAAAAGCCTTTAAAAAATATAAACAATCTATAAAGAAAAAATTAAATTACAATATACTTTGGGGTCCTTTAAAGACCGATAACTTGATTTTAGACGACAATATCATACTCTTTAATGTTTAACATTACAAATCTGGGATTGAGTGATCCATTTTATTTTTAACTAGCCCATCAGACATACTAAATAAAAAAATGAATAACATGTTAAAACATAATAACTTATTTTATAATTAAGTTTTTTATATTAACAAGAAAGAGAAAATGAATAAATTTTTATATATAAACCATTTAATCATATGCTCGAATATAAAAGATGGCATAATAGTGACAGTGATGCTTCGATCAGCCAATCTCATTATCTCTGATATTTCTTTATCCTAGAAAAGTTTTAAATTACTAAATAATATAAACTTTAAAAAGCTTTAATTGAGATAAAAATAGAACAAAAAATTACTTAAATAAAAAGTTACCTTTAACCCAACAACATTTTGACCATTTACTTCTAGGAGATTGTGTTCAGTCAACAAGCCATTTCTATCAAAATAAACAAATTGTCTTGCAAAAAAAAGCAAAATATTTTATTATTTCATCATTATATAACTTATATCCATTATATAAATTAACATACCTTGCAGCTGAAGAATCTAAACATACCTTGCAGCTGAAGAATCTTTAACAATAGATGTTATTTTTCCATTTTTAAACACAAAACCAACATGGCCAGAACTATCTTTTTGTAATGTAAGATTGCGTTCAAATGGCCTTTTGAAGAAAAATAAAAAGACTGATTTAAAAAATATATATATACAAACAATAATAAATTTATAAAATTAAGTTAACGTAAATAAAAATAACTTTAAAAATTACTAACCGATCACGTATAGCAAATTCTATATGTTTAGGATCAGCTTTTTTTATTAGAGACATAACCTTTTCACGATCAAAACCTGCTAATGTTACTCCATTAATCTGAAGTATTTGATCTCCAAATCGCAACCCTACAAGTAAAATTGACAAATAATTAACTTACATATAAAATATATTATAACATAAAAATAAAATTTTATATAAAATCTTATCATAATAATCAGAAATTTTATTGTAAAAATACAAAAAAAACTCATTCAAAATAGAATACACATTAATAAATACACTACCTGCCATAGCAGCAGGCGAACCATTTTCAACAAATGACACAAAAACGCCTTTATTTATATGTTGAACACGTATACCAACTCTTGACTGTTCATTCTTACAGGCAATAATTTGGCGTACACCTTGTCTGATCTCAGCACGCATTAAACCCATATTGTTTTGACCAGTCACTGGGGATACCATGCTTTGAGATGGCTTTTGATATTGAATAACTTGCTTTAATAAATAATAGACAATTTTATTAAGTAGAAATGTTATCGTTTAAAAATATATATATTAATATAGTGTACTCTTTTAGTTAATATTTCACATAATTTTTTCTATTAATAAAATTTTAGTATATATGTATGTATGTATGTATGTATGTATGTATGTATGTATGTATGTATGTATGTATGTATGTATGTATTTATGTATGTATGTGTATGTAGGTATGCTTGTATATATATATATATATATATATATATATATATATTATATATATATATATATATATATATATATATATATATATATCTTTGTAAAAAAGATTAGCTCATACCTGTCCGGATTCAGGCATATGTTGAAGAACTGCATTTGCAGTTAGATCTAATCCCATAAAATCATCTAACGACGGATAAAGTGCAGAGCTAGCTGTTCCCTGAAAATTCTAAACACGTCTTATTATTATATTTTAATTCAACAGACTTTAAAATAATTTTTAAATAAAACAAGTAAATTTCACACTTAAAAAATGTGAATTCAACTAACTGTCATAAATACCTGTGGTGGTGCTGATGCATTGTTTTGGGACGCAGATAAAGCTTGTTGTTGGTGATGTACATAGTTCTGTGCCTAAATTTTTTTATTATACTGTTATTATATTAGATTTTACTTTGTGAATCTTTAAGATAAACAATACACGTGTATTTACCTTATATTTAGTACTAAAGATCTAAAGTTATTTAAAAAATATAAAAAAAGTTTAACCTTAGACAGTTGGTCGACTTTCATATCTTCTAAAGAAGGATAAAGAGACATTTTTATATTTTAAACTATCGACTACACTTTAACCTTACACTTTTACTTAATTTTGCTTTCGGTTTAGTAATTTGTTTTTCCAGCTTTAGAAGCCTGTGGCAAGTCATGTGACTTATAAACAACTGCGTCACCTATATGTCATCTTTTAAACAGTCAACGAATAAAAATTGATTAATTGATTTCTCCGTTTTTCGATAATTTATTATTAATTAACCAAAACTAATCACTAGTACTTTTTTTAATATTCATAAAAATTGTAGGGATAAACTAATAAAAACTAAGATTTTTTACAATAGCAGAATATACTTGGAAAAAATCAAACGCAAACGTTTTGGAAACCATACTCTTTTTGGTTATTGATGATTTAAATGGTTTTTTTTAATAATAATATGAAATTTTTGAAACAGCCTCGGGTATGCTTAAGCAAAAAGTAAAAAGAGGCTCAAAAATATGCTTAAGCTTAAGCATATTTTTAATAAAACATGCTTATTTCAATACTTTCTAAAAGTGTGCGCGTTACTAAAGGTTAATGGGTATGAGAAAAATAAAATGTTGACTGATGCTCTGCATTTGCTTTGATTTAATGTAGCTAAATAAATGTTGTAGTATAATAATAAAAAATAAATCGCATCTATATACACATGTTATCAATGAAATCTAAGATATGAACTACGCATTCCTTCTCGTTCGGACCAATAACAAATTATTAAAAAAGGTACCGTTGAAAAAAAACAAAATTTTATAATTGGAGATTTAAACATGAATTGTTTTCTTTATAATGATAACCTTAAAGGTAAAAATTTTTATGATGAAATTTTTGAAACGGGATCAGTATCTTTAATAAACAAACCTACAAGAGTAACGACAAATTCAGCAACTCTAATAGATAATATAATAACTTCAGATATTTTCAACAATGATTTAAAAGTAGGTATTTTGCGAACCGATATATCAGATCATTTCCCTATATTCCTAAAATTAGATAATACAAACTCTGAAAAAACTTTAACCGCACAAAGAGTAATTAGAAAACGCATTTATAATGAGGCTAACCTTAATTTATTCAAAAATCAACTTTCATTACTACACTGGAATAACATAAATTTTAATGATAATGCTAACAATATCTATGAGTCTTTTTTCAAAACATTTTTTTCTGTATACGATGCTAACTTCCCATGCATTGAAAATAAAATAACTACTAAGAGCTTAAATACACCCTGGATCACTAAGGGCTTTAAAAAATCGTCCAAAATTAAGCATAAACTATATATAAATTTTTTGAAAACAAAAACACCTAAAAACGAAAAAATTTACAAGGACTACAAAAACCTATTTGAAAAAATTCGCAAAAATCTAAAAAAAAAATTATTACTCCCATTTACATGGCAAATAATGAATGAAATTATTGGAAAACAAAAATCATGCTCAGGTTTTCTGCCACAAATGGTTAGAGTCGATAACAAAAGTTTATACGAACCAAGAACTATAGCTCAAGAATTTAACAAATTTTTTATCGATATAGGTCCAACACTTTCTAAAAAAATCCCAAACACCAAATCTTTATTTACTGATTTTCTAGTACCCATTGATAATTGCATTGGTTCAGTTGAGTTGTCTTCTGAATTGTTGTTTGAAGAGTTTGAAAGAGCCTTCAAATCTTTAAAAAAAAATAAAGCAGTTGGAGCAGATCAAATAAATGGAAACGTTATTATAGATTGTTTTGAACAGCTAAAAGTTGTTCTTTTTAAAGTTTTTAAAGCTTCTATCCATCAAGGTGTTTTCCCCGAACTGTTAAAAATTGCCAAAATTATTCCTATTTTTAAAGAAGGGGACAAATCAATTATAAGTAATTATCGCCCTATTTCTGTTCTTTCCACCTTTTCAAAAATTTTAGAAAGAATTATATATAACAGAGTATACAAATATTTTCATGTTAATAAATTACTTAACATTAATCAATTCGGTTTTAAAAAGGATAGCTCAACTGAACATGCAATTATCCAATTTGTACGGGAAATCTCAAAATCATTTGAAAAATCACAATATACTCTAGGACTTTTTATTGATCTATCAAAAGCTTTTGATACGGTTGACCACCAAATTCTAATCCATAAACTTAAACACTATGGAATAAAAAATAAAGTTTTAAAATGGTTTGAAAGCTATTTGTCAAATCGTAAACAATTTGTTCCGAGTAATGACGGTTATCACACCAATTGTCTTTCTATAACATGTGGAGTCCCACAAGGCTCAATTCTTGGTCCACTCCTTTTCCTAATTTATATTAATGATTTAAATAAAGCCTCTAAACTAACAAGTATTATGTTTGCAGATGATACTAACCTATTTCTTTCTAACAGTGATATCTTTGAACTTTTTAAAACAATGAACAAAGAGCTGATACATGTATCGAGTTGGTTTAAATGTAATAAGTTAACTCTAAATTCTAATAAAACAAAGTGGACCTTATTCCATTCGCTTTCCAAAAAACGATATTTGCCATTAAACTTACCTAAAATTTTTATTGATCAAAATGAAATAAAAAGGGATTCCGTAACAAAATTTTTAGGTGTTTACCTTGATGAAAACATCACTTGGAATCATCATAAGCACTACATAAGCACTAAAATTTCAAAAAACATAGGAGTTTTATATAAAGCACGAATCTACCTCAATAAGAAAATTTTAATCAAACTTTATAATTCATTTATACACAGTTATTTAAATTATGCTAATATCGCCTGGGGTAGTACAGAAAAAAGTAAGTTGCAACGTCTTTATCGCCGTCAGAAACATGCTATCCGTTTAATCTGCTTTGCAAATCGCTTTTCTCACGCAAAACATTATTTTATTGAAATGAGAATTTTAAATATATACGAGCTAAATATATATAATGTTTTATGCTTTGTATACATGTGGAAAAATGACTTGTCTCAATCTGTCTTCAAAGATATTTTTACTCCGAAACCCATCAACAAATACAATTTGAGAAATACTGATTTTTTAAATGAACCTTTCTGTCAAACGAACTTTAATCAATTTTGTATTGTCTATCGGGCACCACACCTTTGGAATAAAATTGTTTTGCCCAATTTTGATTTCGAACTACCCATTACTTTTCGTTTTTTTAAAAGTAAATTAAAAACCCTTATTTTTTCATTAGAAGACGTATTATGTTATTATTAATAATATAAATTAATAACTTTGCCTTTTCTTATTTATATTTGTAAAAAGTTTATTCTTACTTATTTTGCTGATTTTATATTCTTTACTTCACGTATACGTTTATATAAAATATTAGTGAGTAGATCCGCGTGATCTCTCTTTGGATTATAAAATATATATTTGGATTATATATATATGAAATTTGTAAAAATTTGATACTGTTAATGCTTGTTTGAACTTATTTAAGGTTCTGACGACAAGATCCTTTGATCTTCTTTCAGATACCTTATTTTATATTTGTGAAAGTTTATTATTATCATCATTATTTTTATTTTATTTTTTTTTGGCAATATATAGTTGTAATACGACCAACAAATGTAAAATTAAAAAAAAAAAAAAAAAAAAAAAAAAAAAAAAAAAAATAAAGGTGTCATCTGGAAAAATTTCATTGGCATCTTCATTTATAGCATCATCTACCTCCACCGGTTGAATATCACCCTGATTTCCAATGGGTTGATCACTGCCCGGATCAATGATGGATGATGGGGGCACTTTGTAACTATCAAGTCCCTCTGGTTTAACAAGCGAATCTTCTTAGCCATCATAAGTCATTAAACACCCAGTCATTGTTCAACATTTCTTCCTTTGCTTGTCATACTTCGAAGTATTTAAAGCTTTTCATGCTTCCCCTGCCCAATGTGTAATCAAAACATGTCAGTGTAGGGAATTTCATTACTGAACCATCTGTCAGAATAATAATCTCTATAAAGCCATTTTTGATGTTTAATGGCAATTAGTCTTTTCAGAGTAGCAGCATATCCTGGGTCAACTGGTTGCAAAAGATCAATGGCATTTGGTAAACCGTATCAGAGAAGTTCTTTAGCAGCAGCCACAGCATCTTTAAAATCCTCCTGCATCTTTCCCTTCAAATTGTCCAGCAAAAAAACAAATTTATCAAACTTTTGTTCTATGACAAATGAAAAGAGTTCAAGTATAAAAGTTTAGGTTTATCACACCAAATATTTTACATTGCTTACAAAACTTTATGGTCTAACCAAGCATTTTGTTGGAAGTAAATGTGAATATCTTTGTGCCATGGTAACTTTTCGTCTTTTGAAATGCGTTTTCCTTGACCTTTAAAAATGATGGCTAGTCCTGAGCTTGGTTGTGAGATCCATGTATTATGTGTTGCACCTTGACCCTTGGGTACATACTCGTAAGTTTTCTTACCATAAACAACAAAGGGAAGCGGGTTCTGGTCAACATTGAGCCTTAGTCCAGGTTGGTACCATCCCCATTTTTTGTCGTAACTTGGATCTTTAGAACCATGCCATTTCTGTAATAATGGTTCTATTTCTTTCTGAAGTTTCCTTTTTTTTTCTTTGCTTCAAGCTCATTTTTAACTCTTTTTGTTTTTGTAAAACTATAACATATGTTTTATTTCCACGTTTGGATCAATGTTTAATTTTATATTTCTAGTTTTACTCCGAAGCCAGAAAAAGTTAACAATATGACCTTTCGATCGGGCGTGTAAAAATTCTTTGTAGATAACTTCGTATAATTCAAGATATTTTGTGGAATGTCTTTCCTTCAGAATCAATATGCGATAGGATGATTCGACATCTTAAATAATAGTTTCTTTTTTTAAGCCATCGTAAAATCGTACTTTGTGTTACACCAAACGATTCTGCTATAGTTTCTTGATTTGCCTCATAACCATAAGATTTAATTGCTTCTGCTTTAAAGGAAGCAGTATATTTGTAGCGTTTCTTACCAGTTAATTTGCTGGTAAGTAACAACTTTGTTGACTATATTATTGAGCACGAAGAACTTGTGATGGTGAATGTTTACAATCTTGTTTGCTAATTCCGTGAATAACTTTAACATGAAAAGCTAGTTCTTGTTGCCTTTTAAAAAATTCTTTGCAATGTTCGCATTCAAACTAGTTTCAACAGCTTCTAACGGCAATCAGATTGTACTCATTTCTTTATTCTCTTTGACATTATTATTACTATTTTTAACAGTATCTGAAAATAAGAATTAATATAAACATTTTGAATATGGTATTAAATAAACTAATAAGAAATAAAATAAACATTTTAAAATGGTATTAAATAAACTACACATTAAAAGCGAGAGAGAAAAAAAAGAGAGAGAAATAAAACACTTCAGAGCGACTCTTAAACTTTATGTTTTTTTGTTCAAGTATAAAAGTTTAGGTTTGGCAAAACAATGACTTCATTACTTCATAAAGTTGTTGCAATGCAAAACATAAACTTTGATTTTTGTTGTTTTTGTTTTGTTATAAATTTAGAAATATTTAAAATTTTTAGTTCAATAAAATTTAAATCTTTTAAATGATTTATCGAGGCTTAGGATTATGCTTACATATGCTTATTTTTTTCCCAAAAGATGCTTATAAGTATTATGATTTTTAGCAAAATTCTTGAAAAATTAATGTATTCTCGTATCTACCACTTTCCTGATAATTCTTTGGTTTTCGTTTAAAACACTCTACTTCCCATGCTCTTATTAGCATTACTGAAATGATTCGTGATGCAATCAATAAATTGATAGTGGTTCATTTGCTTGTGGCGTCTTTATTGATTTTCAAAAAGCTTTTGACACGGTCGACCACAAGATTTTAATTAAAAAGTTATACTATGGCATACGGGGTATCGCTAATAATTGGTTTTCATCATATATTGAAAATCGTAGCCAGTTTGTCTCCATTAATGGGTTTGAATCCTCCAAAAAATTTATCAAATATGGTGTCCCCCAAAATTCTGTTCTTGAACCTTTGCTGTTTTTAATATATATAAACGACATGTCTTACTCTATAAGCAATTCCACTGTTCACAATTTTGCTGATGATACCAATCTTCTATGCATAAATAAATCACTTACTCAGCTTTGTAAAAAAGTTAATTCAGATCTCCATCATTTGTGTCTTTGGTTAAATAGTAATCGTATCTCTCTAAATATCAACAAAACTGAATTTATTATTTTTCACCCTCCAAAAAAAATAAGGAGTTATGATAATGTTAAAATTAAAATTAACGGTAAAAGAATCTTTCCTTCTGAATTTATAAAATATCTCGGAGATTTCTTGACAAAAACCTATCTTGGAATTATCAAATGATTCAATTAAATAAAAAACTCTCTCGAGCCAATAGTATGTTATCTTTAATACGACATCATGTCCCTAAACATACTCTAGTATCAATTTACTATTCCATGTTCTCATCCCATCTAAGCTATTGTTGCGTTGTTTGGGGGCAACAAGGAAGTTTTCTATTAAATCGTATAAACAGTTTGCAACGTTCTTCCATAAGAATTATGATATTTTCTCCTTTTCAATCTAATATCCAAAAAAGGTTTTCTGAATTAAAAATCTTACAATTTCAAGATCTTATCTATCTATCTATAAGCTTTACAACTGTCTTTTTGTGTTTGATTTCCTCCAAAATAATCTGCCGGGTTCGTTTAACAATTTTTTTATTAAAGCAAGTGATACACATAAATATTATACTCGTATTACTATAAATGGTAATTTGCACCCTTCTTTTTTCAATACTGTCAAGTATGGCAAGCTATCCATAAAGCACCAATGTATTTCTCACTGGAACCAATTAATACCTTTTTATAAAAAAAAAGATTTTAACTAAATATCCTTTTGTTACTAACTTTCTTCTTCTCAAAAGAAACCTAATTAAGAAATTTTTATGTGAGCAAATATTTAAAGCATATTAATGCTATCTTTTATTATTATTCCTTCAATATATTATTTAATTAATTACACTTATTTTTATTTATTTTTATTTTTTTTTTTATTGTTATTATTATTCTTTACATTGTTACTACTACTATTTTTATTATTGTTATTAATATTATTATTTATATCTTTTTTTTTTTTGTTGCCTTAATATTATTACCTATAATGATAGTCAAAGTAATTCAGTAGTTGCAGTAGCTTTATCATTATTGTTATAACTATTCTTTAAATTGTTTATTTTATAATTATTAACTATACTATAATTATCTTACTATTGCTTTATCATTTATAATTCTTTTTACGTTGTTACATTGCAGTTATTATTTTTTATATTATTTTTATTCATATTATTGTTACTATTATTATTTTTATAAATGTTATTACTTTTAACTTTCTTTTCATTTTTTTTTTTTTTTTTTTTCAAGCCTTCTTTATTGTTTTTGTTGCTTATCTTTCTTTCCTTTTTTCTTTTTTCTTTTTTTTTAGGTGTCACTCCTTTGACTAGTTTTCAACTTTATGAGTGACACCTAACCTTACTTATGTAAATTTATAATTTATCATTGTAAGTTTTCATTATTTATGGTTAAATAAATGAAGAAAAAAAGTAAGTGTTATGCTTAAATATAGAAGACTTTTTTTAAGAATTGACGATTGCGCCTCCTCACTTTGAAACCCATGTCGTCGGACGTGATATCTCCACGAAAACTCTCTGTCGATATACGCACAATAATGATAAATACAAATGATAAAGATAAATGATTCCTATCCTTATTTTTATTAATTAAAAAGTTAATGGAATTAAAATTTATATTATTTACTTGCAAAAAAGTTTGATCGCTGTTTGCGGTTTAAATAAATTCAAAAAAAAGTTTGACCACAGGTTTGACCACAACCACAGATAAAAAAAACAAAATACACACAAAAAAAAAACGTTTATTTACCTGGATAAAAGTAATTACTAGGTTAGATTAAATAAATGTGGAAAAGATACCTGATCATTTTACTTAAAAAAAAAAAGAAAATTAATATTAAAAAATAATTTGAAAAGAAAACAATATAAGGCTAATAAACTCATAGTTATTATCGCTTTAGCTTAAATTTTTTTTTTTTTTTTTTTTACGCTATTTCAATGTCTACTAATTTTCCATTTTTAAATGTTGGTAAAAAATCAAAAAAAGGTGTTTTAAAAAGATAAAAATATCAGTTTAATTTTTATAAATTTTCACAAAAACTAGTCGTTTCGGAAAAAACTTTTTGTTTCTTTAAAAATATATACTATTCAAATCGAATTTAAAATTTTAATATAATAAACATTCAAAAAAGTTTTTTTTGATTATTTAACGATAAATTTTACATTTTTCTTGATTTTACATATAGTTTTTTTGATTTATGTGTAGTTACCCCCCACACCCCATTTAGAACGTAACTTTGAAAAATAAATGCCCGGAGGGGTATTTTATTTATATGTTGTTGATTTGAATCAGAGATGAATTTAATCAGCCGTGGCGCAGTGACTGGAGCGCTGGCATATAATTAAGAGGTCCAGGTTTGATACCTGGTTTAGGTATTTAAGGCGGCTTGAAATTTCTCCTTAAATGCTCTTCCACGCAGCTTGATAATTAGAAGAAAAAGAAAAAAAAATCATTTTCTAACATTTGATGTAAAAGCAGTATTTTATTTTTCAAGGAGGCCTAACGGTCTTATCGTAGAGCACCAATGAAGGGCATTTAACAAGGGTGTTTACGCCTCCTCCAGTACCAATGTCGCTTATCTGACCTCTTTTTTCAAATATTACTTTCGAGTCCTTAATAAAAGGTAGGGGGGGAGACGGTAATAGCACAGACTAGTAGGTTGAAATGAATATCGCCTGTAATCGATTGAAAATCAAATTATCTCAAATCGGTTGAAAATAAAAGTCTCTAAAATCAGTTCAGAAAAAATTCGGTCGAAAATGAAAACGTCATAATTCGGTCGAATTAAAAAAGGACTATTATAGGTTGAAAACAATTTAGGCCTCAGTCGAACATCTAAAAATTATTTCCACTATTTAGTACATGTTTTATTTTGTAAAATCAGTTCGTGCGTGCAGGTTTTTGTAAGTTGAGCTATGCGTCACGTTTAACATTTTTAACTTCATATTTAACTTCATATTTCAGAATTATTTGCCGGCACTGCCTCTGACTCAAAATGAGGTTTTGATTTTTTTTTAAAAAACGAAGACCAGATATATTACTGATTTGGGGAGAAATGTAGGAGAGAGTTGCTACACCGATTGATCTATACCTTAACCCAAACCCTCAGTCGATGTAGCAGCATTCCCTTGCATGTTATTCCTAAATCAATCAATGTAGAAGCGCTTTCCTACATTTCTCCTACATTTCAAATCAGTAATATATCTGGTCTTCGTTTTTTGAACAATCAAAACATCATTTTGAGTCGTAGTATCTTTCGCTCACCGCCTCAATTATATTTGGTGTATAATATTTTTAAATAATTTTTTTCATTTTTTAAAATGGTATTTCATAATTGAATGAGCTTAACTATGTTAATTTATTAACTTTTTAGGAAAAATGCAAAATTCCCCAAATAGAAACGCTAACTGGAATCAACAAAGAGGTTTTTCTCCCCAAATGAGACCTCAAAGTTTTACACCTAAATTTGAACATCAATCAAGAGGATTTTTTAATATAAAAAATAGTTCTCAAACACCATTTATGAGGTTTAGTCCTCATGTATCAAATTCAAATTTTAATCAATTAGGTAATACATCTCCTTACTCGAGAGAAAGTAGAAGCCCTTATGACAGAAATGAGAATAATTTTCAAAAAAATTTTCATAGAACTGCTCATAATAAAAAGGTTAATGTTTATCTTATTTAATAAGTTTTTTAATATCTTTTTGATTAATAAATTTAATAAATTTTCTTTAAATAAGTATTATATTCATTACTGTGATCATCATAATTATAACTTTTTGGGAAAGAAAAAAAAATTTTTTTTTTCTTTCCCCAAAAAAAAGCGATTGTGGTTGTAGATGTTCACAATCATTGTTGTAAAAATTTAATTTAAAAGTTTTTATTTTTGAAAGTCTAATTTTTAGGGCTTGCCCTAAATTTTAGGGGCTATTTGGGCTTTAGGGCTCTATTAGCTTTTTTTTGTCTAAACATCCATTCAAAAGCAATCATAATTTAATGTTTTTATGTTTATATATATATATATATATATATATTATATATATATATATATATATATATTTATATTTATATTATATTTTTATTATTTGCTCATTTTTATTCATGCATATTTGATTTTAATGTTTTACTTTAAGATATAATATATATATATATATATATATATATATATATATATATATATATATATATATATACATATATATATATATATATATATATATATATATATATATTTGTTATTTTTATTTATTTATTATATTAGTATAAATATTTCATATTTTTATTTGTTTGCTTACAAATATATATATATATAGAAATATAACCATATTTAGACTGAACCCTTAATGCTTATTTTTGATAGTAAAACCCTGCTTATTTTTGATAAAAAAAAAAATCATCTTAAATATTTTTATTTTTTATAAAATCTAATTAGTCCTTAAAAGAACTTTCCAATAAGTTTAAGTGTTTAGGTGTGTTGTTTTTAAAGTTTTCGTCTGACTTTTTTAACATATACAAAGAGCATTACTTAAACAGCAGAAATTGAGTTTTATTTACTTAAAGAGCCAATTAAAGATATATGAACTCTACAATATGACTCTAGTTTAATGTTCTTGAGAAATTCTCGTTAACATCACTGGATATAGCTAAAAATTTAGCAGAGTGTTTATACATTCACAAAGAGTTTTGGTTTTGCAATCTTTCAAATAAAAGATTCAAACCAACATACGAACAAGCCTTCTCACTACAATGAAAAATAATAAAAACAAAAAGATTGCTGCCACATGCCAAACCCTCAGTCAATGTAGCGGCACTCCTTTGCAGCAGTAGGCTATAAGATAGTCAATGTATGTACTGAAGCCCCCAGCAGCAGCATGCTACTTCTGTGTGACATCACAGTGCTTATCTAAACTCACATTTATAGTTGCATATACATACATATATATATATATATATATATATATATATATATATATATATATATATATATATATATATATATATATATATATATATATATATATATATATATATATATATATATATATATACTAACTAAAACTCACATTTATAGTTGCATATACATACATACATATATATTCTACAAGGATATATATATATATATATATATATATATATATATATATATATATATATATATCCTTGTAGAATATATATATTTATATATATCCTTGTAGTATATATATATATATATATATTTATATATGTATCCTTGTGGTGTAGTTGAAAAAGACTTTTAATATTAAAAAAAGTCTCTTTCGACTACAATTTAGTTACCTCGACAATTAAGCTACATTTTATTGTCATCAAAATATCAAAGCAATTAAATTAATTCAGAAGTACATTAAATTTCATTGTTTTTTAAAAAAACCGCAATAATAATGACTAGAAAGTTTTTTTTAATTAATGGTGTTTGTGTTGTTGTTTTATTAAAATATATTTTTAAAACATGTGCAGAGATTTGCTACATTGACTATCTTATAGCCTGACTCGCAACGGAGTGCTGTTACATTGACTGACAAATAGCCTGACTCGCAAGGGAGTGTTGCTACATCGACTGAGGGTTTGGTTTGGGCAGGCAATCTATCATTTAAGGAAAAAAAAATTATTCAAGTTTTTAAACTTTTTCTGGTCTGGTTCATTAATGCGCTCTTTAAAACTACAGTTTATGCAAAAACCTTTCTGACTACCATGCAAGACTATATATATATATATATATATATATATATATATATATATATATATATATATATATATATATATATATATATATATATATATATACATATATATACATATATATAGATATATATAGATATATATATATATATATATATATATATATATATACATATATATATATATATATATATATATAAATATATATATATATATATATATATATATGTATATATATATATATATATATATATATATATATATATATATATATATATATATATATATATATATATATATATATATACACCGTAAAAACCCCTAATTCCGGATGGTTTAGGACTTAAATTGTCATAACTAGCTCAATATAAAGAATTTTGAAATAATTTCTTTAAATATATAAACTTCATAAAAAGACAAATCAAGCAATATAAGAAATATAATTTTTGCAATATAAATCTATCTTTTATTTTATTTTTAAAAAATGTTGTTTTTATCCGGAATTAGGTGTTTATGTCCCTAATTCCGGATGTGTATAAAATACAGAAAAACACATACACAAATAATACTAACATTAAAATCATTATTTTAATCCATTAGAAAATGAAATCGTTTAATAAAAAAAGAATATATATTATTTTATACACATTTGTTAAAAATAAATTTCATGGTTGGATGATAATCAAAGACACATTCAATGTATGACCAATTTAAGTTATTTGTCAATTAATTTTGCAAGAATAACAGAAGATCATCTGATACTAAAATGTTATTTGAAGCTTGAGGAAAATCAGGGTCTTCTAATTGATTTTTTGTCTTTATACCTTTTTTACCTGGTATTTTAGACGACTGACTTTGTCTCAACTTTTTTTTTTCTTTTCTTTTCTGTGCATTTTTCACTTTTTGAGTAGCAGTGGTTATATACTTTATTGTTCTCTGGTAAATTTACTAGTGGAAATCTTTTTTTGTTCTCTTGTAAATTTCTTTGCAGCTTGTCATCTAATTTTTGTTTTTTTGATGCTTGTTCAGCTTCATCGTAAGCGATAGCATCCTCTGAAGTCATATTATAATTAGCTGGTCGCTTTATTCTCTCACTTTTTTGAACTCTTTTATTTACAGTTGGTGTCAATTGATCTCAAAGCATATTTAACACTGATTTGTTTATATCTTTGCCCACTTGTTGAACAGCATTATTCAAAGTAGCAAAGCTTTTAAGCAAAAATTCACGATTTTACATTCTTGACCGTGTGTTAGGTGTATTGGTAGCATTTCCCATAATTAATGGACTAGATACTGTTGAAGAATCAAATAAGTTTTCAATATTGTTGTTTTCGACAGCTTGAAACACAGCACCAATGGAAGTTTTTTTAGAAGAAATTTGCAAACGATCGGGTGGAAATATACCAGTATTTTTGAAACCACTCCGTGCATTTTCAGGTTTAAACCTACCATTTTGGATGAGATCCTTAAACATGGCCGGAAAATGTTGATTATTCAGGCTTTGAAAGTGATTTTTAGTCAAATAACTTTCGACAATTCTCTTCCATGCGCCTTTTACTGTTTTAAAAACGCCAACATCTAGTAGCTGTAAAAAATGGCTGGTATGAGCCGGCAAACGCCAGAGTAAAATATAATTTTCTAAAGCTTTTTTTTTCAACTCTAAGCTCATATGTGAAGCATGGCTATCAAGTATTAGAACTTTAAATCCTGAAAGTTTGTTTGCGTGAGGCAAAAAAACTGTTTCATACCACGACAAAAAATGTTCGGATTCCATCCAGCCTGAACTACTACTGTTATAATAAACATTCTGGGCACCGCCTTTGCACCAGTCTTTCATAACATGTTTATAAATTATTTAATGAGGTAAATAATTACCGAATACGTCACAACAAGTCAAGATTGTCGTCATTTGCTTTTCATTCGATAGTGCTAGCTTTTTAGGGTTTTTTTGTTCCTTTTCTACAAACAATTTTGACTTTGCCTTGATCAAATTGCAAACCAGACTCATCACAGTTAAATATTTGAAACGGCTTATCGCCTAAATTATGTTCATTATATGCTACTGCTAATTGCTCAAACCAATTGTCAATTATAGCTGGTTGTGTGGCCACAGCTCTAATAGTTTGCATACCGCTTACTTTTCTTGGGCAAATTTCTTTACGATATTTATTCATGAAACCGGAGTACCATTTTCTAGTCGGTTTGCCGTCTTTGAATAGACTACGTTGGTTTGATTCTTTTTAATAGTTTTCAACATCAATAAACACGTCTATTCAACCCGAAGCCTATATCACTCATAAGTTTTGATAAATCAATAATAATAGCTTCAGTGATGTTGCTCATCTTTCTTGGTGCTCCTCGATTATTAGATGATCCTTTTGTTCTGTCAAAAAGTGTAGATTTTGCCACATTATAACACTTAACAGCTTGTACATATGACTTTTTTTTTTTCAGTAATAGCTTGAATAGCTAGCTGGATTCGACTCTCTCGCTCTTCTTTTTGTTTAAAATTATCCATATTCTTTAATACAGTAATACAATTAACACAAATGCGTTAACTTTATTAATTATCTTTTCCTTTGTGGCTATTTTATTTTTTGTTACTTTAATGAACATGGTATATTATACTATGTGCATGAAAGTGATAAAAAATAAAATAGCCAATTGTAATTAACTGTATTTGTGACTCTAAAGTGTATTTGTTTATTGCTGCTGGCTAATTTGTTTATTATTTTTTTTAGGTACATAAAATAATAATTACCTCTATCCGGAATTAGGTGTCTTTTTTTTTTGGCTGGTAGCAAATTTGTTTTTCATTTTTTTCAATTATTTCAAAAGGTAATTTAATTTTTTTTTGGCTAAAATAATCAGCATAAAATTCTGCAAAAAATAGTGTTTTTACTTTTTTAATTTTTTTGTTGCAAGTCAAAGTTTTCTTTTTCCTTTTTTTTTTTTTGTTTTTTTTAGTTATGAGAGAATTGAAATCTTTCATGATTGCATTAGTTTATATATATATTTTTTTATATTTTTCGATTTGTCTTGTAAAGACGTTTATTAATTAAAAAAAATTATTCATAAATTCATTATATTAAGGGAGTTATGAAACTTTTTACTAAAACCATCCGGAATTAGGTTACACCTGGAATTAGGGGTTTTTACGGTATATATATATATATATATATATATATATATATATATATATATATATATATATATATATATATATACAACAAATAAAATAACAGAATATTTTAGAAGACTTTAGACTATTCTAGAATAATTTTAAACATTCTGGAACAATTTAAAACATTCTAGAACAATTTAAAATATTTTGGAACATTTATTGGAACATAGAACAATTTAGAACATTCTGGAATATTCTAGAACCTTTTAGACTATATATAGCTGCTCATCTAATTTTATCGTTATTACAGAAGCAAAACATTGCGTTGTACAAACCTAACAATAGTAGCATTCAGAAGAACAAGGATGTCTGGACCAATAATCTGGTCAAATTTGAAGACTCATAAAAGAAGAAGAATGGTCTCTTGAAGAATATTCACTTGAAGAAAAGTGAAGAATGCCTCTCCTAAAGCAAATTATCACACACTACCATTTCCTTGGACCAAAAATCAAAGGAAGAAAGGAGCGAATAGCGGAAATTTTCAAAGAAGTCACCAAATTGTGGAAGAATAAACTGAATTTTCCTTGTATAACTTGATCATGTTCTGATCAAGTTATACGAGCAAAGCTTGATAAAATACTGAAATATTATGATGAATGTGTCGAGCAGGGCTGCTACGAACCCCATGATGAAATTTTTGATATTACTAAAGTGGATGGAACATGGTTATCTTCCGAGGACAAGCGATTGTACTATCTTCAAGTGGAAAGCAAAGGAACAATACTCTACAGGCCAAGTGGCCAGTAAAGAAACTATCTATCCCTCAAAAGGCAAAAACTTTCTGATGGGTCATCCAACTCATCGTCTTGCTATGCTGGTCCTAGTGATTCTGACTGAGGCTAATGACAGTGAATATAAAAACAATGAAGAAGAAGATAAGATAACTCCTTAACCAAGCAGAAAACATCATAAAAGCAAAATTGGAGTCAACTTGGTGACCTCCACAAGAGTATCAACAAACAAAGCTGCTAACATATGCAAGCAATTGGCTCGTGAAGGCCTATCCTAATCCTATTCATCCTAATTCACATCCTAATTCCATGTCACATCCTAATTCCATGTCACATCCTAATTCCATGTCACATCCTAATTCCATGTCAATCCTAATTCCATGTCAATCAACTATTTACAAGTCAACAATCAAAGAGGTAATCAAGCTTAAGGAAGAAATGATTGAAAAGTTGCATATGGAATGTTGGTCCTTACACTTTGATGGCAAGCACATCCACTGAATGGGTTATCAAGTGGTTGTCCTTAAAAATGAAAGAAGAGAAATCAAGTTGGATGTCTTTGGCTTGGTAGATGGCAGGACTTTAACTATTGCTCAAGGAATTTCTAAAGTCATTGATGAATTTTACCTATGGAATTCAATACAGATGATTGTTGCAGATACCACCAGCGTTAACACTGGAAAAAAGAATGGTGTTGTTGTAATATTGCAACAAATCTTTGTAGAAAAACGCATCAGCGAACCTTAATTTATCTGTTGTCAACACCATGTATTAGATAGAATCCTTCGCTTGGTGATGGATGAATAACTTGGAAGTAAAACGCAATTGCCAAACATAGAATATCCATTTGTATCTCAACTGTGACAGTTGAGATACAAATCTCTCTGCAGAACTGTCCTTCAACAAGGACAGTTCTGCAGAGAGCCGATTTATATAGTACAGCAAAAGAATTAAAAAATTTTAAAAAGTATAGATCTATTCTTTTTCAATTAAATTGTTTTTAACTCAGCATAGTTTGTCTTTTCCCTTATACTCTTATAGCAACAACGGCATTTAAATTGATTTGTAACTTTGTTTATAAAAATGGCTTTAATATCTACAAAGAGAAAATGCAAATTCTCAAGCACTATGAAAAATAAATGTTTATGCTTTGCTTAAGGGCGCAACAAAAATGAGGCAAAGTGTGTGATATGTGATAGTTACTTGTTCGTCGCTAACAAAGTAGCTATTAACTTAGACCGCTATGTCAACAGTGAGAAACATAAAAACCTAATCAAAGTGTCAGCATTATAACATTAAAAGATATTATACTTTGTTGTTTATTCTCATCCAGTTTCAGTCCCACGGCTAGAGGGTGGCAGTTTTGCCCCCCCCCCCCATAAAAAAGACCATTGGCGCCCTAAAATTTTACAAACCTTCTGTTATCAGGCATTACTAAAATTAATTATGTCCTCCTTTTGGCTTTTCTATGTCCTCCTTTAGGCAACTGTTATCTGGCAACCCTATATATATACTATAGCGTGTATAGATCAGCAATTGCTTTAAAACCATTAAACTTATCCATATTAGGAGATAACAGGAATATAGGAGCACAGCTTACACCTACATTAAAAGTGAATCCTACAAGGCAGTAGAACATAGGGCAGATTGTACTGGGTTACATATTATCAGAAGGATGATTCATGAATGCTCTTTATTGTTTTTTTCAAATTCTAACAGAATCCTGACCCACAAAATGTTTTTTTGTTGTTGTTGTGGTAATCATTTTTTGTATTAATATGGCAGTTCTTTTTGTAACACAATAAACAAGTTCATTATCATTCACCAAGTTGCAAATATAAAACATAAAGCTTTTAACTTTCAGTAGTATCTTAATCTTGTTTGCATAAATCAGGTGATGAATGTGATTTATGCAAAACAGATGTCCGAATTGCGATTTGAGTAAAAAAAGTTAATTTTTTTTGTAATAACAGGGTCAAAATTTATTGGTATATCTAAAATTTCATAAAAAAATTATTTATTAAAATGCTTTTATTATTTATAGTTTGTTATTCCATACCCCAATAATTATTTTGGTCACAATTATTAAACAAATTTTTTTGAATCAAATTTAAAATTTGTTGATAAATTTTGATTTTATGAAATTATATGATATGTAATTATGTGATAAAACTATATGATAAAAACTAGAAAAAAAATTTAAATGATTTTAGGGGTGTTAAATTAGAGGTAGAATTGAGTAGGATTCTGATCCTTCATATACAAAAAATAAAGACTTATCTTTTTGTTGTGATTTGTAATGATATTTTACAAATTTAAATACAAAAAAAATTTGTTACAATTTTAAATAATTTATAAATTGAATAGTTATTAAAATTCATGTCATGTAAAACATCACTTTAAAACCTCAGCAAATCAATAAAAAAAAGCGTTTTTTTTTTTCTTTGTATCTGAGTGGATAGAGTCGATATCGCCCTGCTCATGTTTATCAACTTTTTGTTGTGTTGTAACAGAAATTGTATCTCGCTGATAAAAAATAAGAACTTTCAGTGTCATCTGGTCTTAAAAATTTGAAAATTTAAAACAAGCATTTTAAATTAAAAAAATTAAAATACAAACCCACCCACCCTGACTTTGGGGAATGTATATATATGTATGTATATATATATATATATATATATATATATATATATATATATATATATATATATATATATATATATATATATATATATATATATATATATATATATATATATATAGATTTATGTGTATACTATTGCGTGCTACAATAAAAATAAATTAATGTGTTATCGCATTTTCTTAACTAGAAATTTTTATTTGTTTAGTCTGACCAATCATCTATTGAAGAGTATTTCAAGCCATCTATGCTGGAAAATCCGTGGCGGGAATTAGAAGATTGCTTAAGAAAAAACAACATGAGTAAAATAAAATCATAATTAAATATTCGAGTACTAATATGTCATACGAAAGGTTTATAGATTTTTTACTGATTAGATAATATATTAGATTATTTTTGGCTTTATTAAGCTAAAATTTTAAAAATGGCTAACTAAATTTTAATACATTTGAAATGAAAAAAATTTTCACATTCATATTGGTGTTAATAAAGATATAGCCATTGCACGCAATCCTTCTAAGATATCTTTGGCATTTTGTACCATCATGTTAGGAGGAGGCATAAAAGAAGACATATCTATAGAAGAAGTCTTGTTGTTTCCTGGAAGCATTTCTATCAAATAAGTGTATGGTATATGCAATTTGCTATGTGCCCAGTCAATACTACTTCCGGAATTCGGATCTAAAAACAATTTTTATATTGAAGTTAGAATTAGTATAATTTTGTTTAAATATCAATTATAGATATGTTATTTTAACATCTAACGTTAGTAATTCCTTTTTATTTATTTCAATTTTTTATTCCATTTATTATTATTATTTTTTTATTTTTTGGAATTTTGATGATTATGCTTCATTTTTAACTTTAATTTAACAGTTGTTTATCTTAATTGTTGTTATGAAAAGTTGCTGTTTGTTATGGAAAGTTGCTGTTGTTAGTAAATGTATTTTATATTGAAATTTAAACTTACAAAGTTTATCATGAGATGTGCCGATAGAATATTTTACACCAGACAATTTTTTCATTGCATTCACTGCAATTTGTGCAACTCTTTTCTAAAAAAAAATTAAGCCATTATTAATTAAAAAAAAAATTCTGCAAAATATATTTTTCTCCAAAATTTTATTTTTAGAATAAAACTGACTTTTCTATTTTTGTAATAAGATTTGAAGATGCATCTTGTTTGTTTGTTTTTTCATTTTTGTTTATATATTTTAGGCTGCTTTACTGTAGGATATATATATATATATATATATATATATATATATATATATATATATATATATATATATATATATATATATATATATATATATATATATATATATATATATTATATATATATCTGTGGTTTTTTTATTAGTAGGTTTGGATTTTTTCCTATCTTTGAAATGTTTTTGAAAAAATTAGGTTTTAGTAACGTTGCATTTCAAATTATTTTAAATCGGTTATCACTGTTCCTTTGCTTACCATCTGAGTACTGAGTTTAACACAATGTTCAATGATACAACTTTATAGTTTTATATAGTACCTGTCTTTTGATTTCTTCGTTATTATTTTTAGTTTCTTCGATAATCGATTGCAGAAATTTAGTGTTCTTGTTGTACTAGTTGGAAGGACCATATCATATCTTTTAGTGCCTTTTATTTAACCAAAAGCATTATTAGACTTATTTATTATTGCCGAACCATAGGCTTTTTTACGTGAGTTAGACCTGTGGGAAATTTGGTTGAATTTTATTTAATGTCTGGATTTTAAAAATAAGCTTCTATCTAATATTACTCAAACATTACAAGCAACAAACCTTTTCTTCACTAAGTTCTCTAAAAGATTATAAAAAAAAGGTAAGAAGAAGTTGCAAACCTAAATGATAGATAAAATCTAAATGGTTTAATTTAGCTTTTCACGCAGAGTTAACTATAGATAATAAACAAGATTTTAACAAGTTTGTTATTAACACTTGTGAATTGTGTTTTATATAAGGTAGTCGGTAAAATGCGAACTTTTTTGTCGACCAAGACATGATATTTTAATGACCGCAGCACTTATGATATTCAAAAAAAAAATTGCTTATCTATTTTTTATTTAAATTAAACCTAATGGAATTTGATATATATTTTATTTAAATTAAATTGTATTTCTTTTGAATTAAATATAATTTATGCTTCTGCTTGAAGACCAACAGGGCCGATGACACGGGTTCCGAAGTGAGGGGGGTACAATCGTCAATTTTTAAAAAAAGTCTTACATATTTAGAATTTTCTTCAATAAAAAAAAAAAAATTTTAGAAAAAGAGTGGGGGCGCGTCCCCCCCCCTGGCCCTACCAATGTCGTCGGCTTTGCATAAAATATATAGCAAAATGGACAATTTAATGGCAAACGGAAAATAAAAAATATTACATCATTAACAACCGCGGTTAATAAAAAAGTTCGTAATAAAGACCGCCAGGTTCCAACTCCCACAACCTTTTTTTTTTTTTTTTTAAGCAAATATAGTTTGCAAAAGTGTTTTACAAATGCAATACAAATCTAAAATCAATCAGAAGAGTTAGTAATTCAAGTTTTAAAAAATTATAAAAGACAAAAAAATTTAGTCTTCAAAACGATAAAATCCACCAATCATTGGCCATTATAAAAAAAAATTAGAGAAAAAGACAGCGGTAAATATGGCTGAATTAAAACAATTTGTTTGAAAAAAAATATAAACATTCAAAATCATAAGTACAACCAACTAAATCAAATAAAATCACGGAGTATATTTTGTGTAAGTACAATTAAGAGTTTGTCTGCCCGGATGTAATTTGTTCAAATTGTAGAAGAAACATCTTTTTGCTGGGAAAGAGATCAAGCATTTATCTGTCAAGCTGGTTGAAATTATAACCTGTGTATATTATACATTACGTCAGCTGAGTATTTTCGGAAAATAACATTTTTAATTTGCAAAAACTATGTTTTCAGCCTAAGTGACCATTTTAGCGTTGTTACAAGTCATTTTAACTCATTTGGTGACTATTTTCTTTTTAATCCACCCGAATAGCATTTTTAGTTCAACTAGATATTATAAAACTGACTTGGAGTATATTGTATTAAACAAACCCGACATAAACAAAGATAGTTGAAAACTTGTTAAGCAAGCAATTTTAGCGCATAAGTCGAGTCAATAAGCAAGAAGCAACAACTAAATAACAATACAGTTAAAATTGTGCAAATTTAATATTCTTATTCAATTGTTAACTACATAAACTCTACATCGACGTTGATGTAGAGTTAGCATAATTTTCTTGTAAAAAAGTGTAATAACAGATTAAAAGGCGTTGCTTTAAATAAAAATAATATCGAATTATTTTCTATGTGGACACTAAGGTGTTTTTCTTAAATCATGAAAATTTTGGAATGACAATCAGGGCTTTCCCAAATAGAGGCAAAGAGGTTTAGTTGGCAGTCGGCAAATATTAGCCAACGAGGACTTTTTTTTTGAAAGATCTTTAGTCGGCAAAAAAAAAATTTTTAGGCCTTACTCGGCAAAAAGTATGTCACCAAAATACAAATATGTCACCCTTTCTAACCCCCCCCCCACCTTCTTCTGACCCCCAACCTTTAAAATCTCTTCGGGACGGCCCTGATTACAATATCTATATTTGTCAAAAAATTTATTTTTCACTAATATAGTTAAATTAAATAACTTTTTCAATTTTAATTACTTTAACACCTCAATGAAAACATTAAGATCTTTAAATCAGGTTGAAATTTTTGTAGCAGCCAAATATCTTAACAATGTAAATAATTAAAATAATTCAAAATTCAAACCATTTCGTTAAATGACTTGGGTAACTGCTTTTTGAATCCCCATGGTGTCATCCATGATAATCCAAACGCATGCAAACTAATGTATGCCAATGTTTCATTTATTGTGGTGTTCAAAAAATTAGACAATGCAATTGATTCTTTTTCTGAAAAAGGTTTGTCTCCTGCATACATTTCAAAGCAAGGATTTGCAGGGGCTCCTACACCTAAATTAACCAAAAATTTATATTGTATACATATATTATATTACATTATATACATGTATTATATTATAAACATATATTATATTTTATACAAACATTATATAACATTATTACCCATATATTAAATTATATCATATACATATTTTGTATAATATTATAAACTTATATCAGTGCCTGATCAAGGGGGTTAGGGGGGGCTACAACCCCAAGCCCCACTAATCTTTTTTAGATTCTGGCCCACAATAAGGCCTCTAAAAATAAAAACTTTATTTAAAAAAGTGTTTGTACCTCCCCATTCTTCATCAAAATTTCGATTTATATCTACGCCTATACACAATTCGTCGTTTTTTTCTTTTCTAAACTTAAGCTGTTTTGCAGTAAAGGATCTATTTTTTCTCCATAACCTAGTTGATTGGTTGTGCCATGTATACGCATATCCATCCGGATTTAAAACAGGAATTATAATCCAGTTGAAACGTTTAATTAGTTTAGTATTCTTTAACGATGGATGTTCTAAAGTTAGCTTAAATTGAAATAAATTTTAAAAGTGGCAAATGTTACTAACTTTAAGTTTGAAACCATTTCTCTATAAAAAAAAAACTTTATTACCTTGTTAATTATGTACATACATGTCGATGGGGCCAGCCATTCTCTTGCATGTGCTCCACAATCAATAACAATATTTTTTTTTAATTTTCTTGTATCTTTTTCTTCAATCTAGTATAAATAAGTTTTTATATTTTTTTATTCTATTTTTTTTTTGTTTGTTTGTTTGTTTTACTTATGTATTTTTTATATTTCATACGTATGCTTACTCATACGTATGGTATATAAAAAATCCCCGAACGTTCATTAACATTAAGTAATATGCAAAAATTGTTAAGACAACCATCAAATTATTCATTAACTGCAAGTGGAATTGCTTAAAAACAGGTGTGGTTGCTAACTAAAAATTCAGTGAGTTATTCATTATGCTTTTTCCCCTTTCGGGAAAAAAACTTTAGGGAAAACCACTATTGACAACAAAACACTTAAACGAATGAATAACTTTTGAAAAAGACCAGATGCCATGGAAAAAAGATCGGCAACGAATAGTATTTTCTAAAGAAAGACGAATTTGTCTTGGTGGACCGGATGTTTGGAATTATTATTTGTGTAAAGAATCAGTATCACGGCAACGGCGTCAAATGGGTGGTGGTGGTGCATAGCCTACTAATAATTATAAGAGAAAGAATGAAGAATGTTCTAGTAACTTCAGTAAATGTTCTTTTAAAAAATGTTTCCTCGGCAAGCAATTTTTTATTAATAGTGTATATATCTAAAATATAATAGGCAAATTTTTATTAATAGTTGTCTTAAGACATGAATAATATGCGAGTAAAGCCATATAAAACTTATTACTTCCTATACATGGTTGAAAAGAAATTGAGTCAAACTAATTGATACAAAAAATCTCAAGGTTCTAGCTTAATTATAAAAAGCGATATTATCATTTTGAAGATAAATATTTTAATAGAGGTAAACCTATAACATTGAACTATTTCCAAAATCCTATACAAACAATTATTACCAACCAAAATATCTTATCAAAGCCATCTGTAATTCAATCAACTTTAGGTGAGCCCCCTGCAGTACGTATATATAACCATCCTTTGCTAGATAAAACAGATGATTTCAGAAAAGATGATAGAATCAAAAATATTCAAAATTTTATTAAAAATTTTTGTCGAGCAGGATTTTCATTTAAAAGAATTCATAACCTCGTGTCATATCTTCGAATTTTTTTTGATGAAGGTGGTGTTACTCCTAACATCAAGTGTATTAAGATTGATTAAGACTTACATGTAAAGCTACATATGAGAGGTATGCCAGTTCCATTACATAAATAGTTTTGAGAAGGCAGTGTTTTTAATTGACGAGTGTCATTATGCATGTTAATTTTGTTTTTTATAGGCATAAAGTTGTAGAGAAGGTATCAAAAAGTATATTGTTAGAGTTATATAAATTATCTCTTTATATACCACAACGACGTCCAATCTACATGCACATAAATTTGATACACAGAAATGCATCAAAACAGTTTTCCTTCTTTGTCTCATTTAAATTCATGTTCAAAAGGTGGCATTGATCTAGTATCTAGATTATTATTACTTTTGGAAAATGGTAGTATTAGTGCTGACTGTGTTGTTTTAATTGATGAGGTGTAGTTACAAAAGAGTCTCCAGTATCACGGAGGAAGTTTGGTGGAAATTGGTGCTGATGATGGCAATTTCTATTCTGGTATAGTTGTGTTTATGGTCGTTAGCTTGAAAGAACCGATCTCCTTTGTTATAAAGGCCTGTCCAGAGTTTCAAATTTCTGGTTCTTTGATTAGTTCACATATCGAAGAATACTTTTTACAAAGCATTTTTTAATGTACGAGCTATAATAACTAACGATCATGCACTAAATGTTTTAGCATTCAAGATTCTAAGTTTAAAATTTGGTGACACCAGGTTTACAATTTATGTGCCAGTTTTCATTTACTAAAGATGTTAGGAATAATTTAATGAATTCAAAACGACTTGTATTTCCACGTTTCAATTTCATTGAGTTTAATGATTTTATTCATATTGAAGCCGGTAAAATTTCTTGGAGTTTATCGCATAATTTCTATGCGAAAAATAAACTGTTACCTGCTAACTTAAAAACAGCTTTTAAGTTATCTGCCCAAAACTTTACATTCTGAAAACAAACAAAAAAGTTATCCTTTAGCTTTAAATATTTTTGATGAAACCACCTCTGCTGCAATCATCAGCTATTTTCCAAACAAAACTGAGCTGCTGAATTTCTAAAACTTATTATTACTTGGTGGACTATTTCTAATTTATAGGTAATGTTTAACACATTAATAAAATTGGTAATGCATGTATTCCAGGTGATAAAAAATCACAGTTTTTTCGAGATTTTGCAACACGGATTAATGAATGGAAAAACACGGATTAATGAATGGTACAATTTAAAAGATGTAGTAAATATACTTTGTCTGTTCAAACAACTAATGTATTAATTACAACACTGAAGGGTGCTGCAAGTCTGATGAAAGGTTTATTTTCAGATAGATATAAGTATGTTTTAACAAACAGGTCTCAAACTGATCCATTAGAAAAGCATTTCATTAAATACCGTCAATGGTGGAAGATTTTTAGTTAGTTTACGTGAAGTTCAAAACTCTAAAAAGATATTATGCTTGTAATCTCTAATTAAAGCCAATATCAATAGTTTGACAAGCAATCTGAAATCTAATACAAAATTGACAAAAGTTACCATTTAATTAAATTGAAAAATTTAGCAACGATATTCAGGAGAATAAGCTGTGTTATGACTCTTACGAAGTAGCCATCAATGTAGCTGGTTACACCAAAAAAAAATTTCGGATAATTCTAACTGTGTTGACTGTGTAATATCATTAAGTTTCAATCAAGTCTCAAAAGAATATCTGCCACGTGGTGGTTTAACAAAACCTTCTATATCATTAGCTAATTATGTTTGTAATGGGTTTAAAGTTTTGGACACTGCAAAGAAATTATTATTAAAGTATTTCCATAATATAAAAAGTAAACCTACTTGAAATATATCAACCAAGTGATACCAGTTTTATGTGTATAAAGTATGGGGAATGGTGAAATATATCAACCAAGTGATAGCAGTTTTATGTGTATAAAGTATGGGGAATGGTGAAATATATCAACCAAGTGATAGCAGTTTTATGTGTACAAAGTATGGGGAATGGTGAAATATATCAACCAAGTGATAGCAGTTTTATGTGTATAAAGTATGGGGAATGGTGAAAGAAATCGGTAAATAAAATTATCAAGATATATTAAAACAATGACCAATAGATTAAAAATGAAAACATTTGAAAAAATGAAGTTGCTGCCTTTAAAGTTTAACAAACCATGAGAGACAAATAAATAAACGCATAACAACATAGTAAATATATTTTTTTTCCTGAGAAATAAAAAAATATTGACTTGATAGAGCTTTTGTAATATAAATGTTGTTTTAAGTAAATTTATGAGTAAATTTTAAAAAGAAATGCTGATAGTTTTACAAAATAATCCTGTTAATGTTAGTTGTTTGAAGCAATAATTTAAAGATTAAAAAGTTTTGTAGAGTAAAGAATAACAATCGCAAAAATAGCTCACTTGGCTTAATGTGATCATGATTTTTCTTTAGCTAATTGTCTAAATATTTAAGGTTGAGAATTTTGGTAATTAAAGTTTTAATCGATTAAAATATTTAAACTTCAATAAAATATTTACAAAATAACCATCAGGTTTTGATTTTAAAGCCAAAATTTTATAAAATTATTAATTTTTTTACTTTTTTTTTTTTTTATGTTGATTTAGGTGCCCCAAGAAGTCCTTACGGTCTTATCACAGAGCACCGCGGAAGAGCATTTAATAGGAAGTTCACGCCTCCTTCTTAACCGATGTCTCAAAACTTGTCCAGAGGTGGGGTTTGAACCATGGATCTTACGTTTCTGAAACAAGTGCGCTACCAGTGCGCCACGGCTGCTTGACTTCAAGGCAACAAATTCGGCCATGGGCGGTGTAATGATTTGGTGTGCAGTAAGGTATCATGGTAAATCAGAATTCATTTTGTTGATGAAATAATAAAATCTAGATACTTTCTTTTAATTGTTTAAGACTTTTTACGACATGAAGCATCTGTTATTGATGGTGAAAATTTGGTTTTTCAGCAAGATAATGCTAGCGTCAACAACAGTAAAATTGAAACATTAAAATGGCCAGTTAGATCTTCAGAGCCTAATATAAATTGAGAATGCTTTAGGAAAGCTGTAAAGTATAGTGTTTGAATATGCTAAAAATATAGATAATTCATTAGCTGAATTGAAATAATCCATTGCACCTGCATGAGACACAGTTGACATCTTGTTTATAAAAATGTTGTAAGGTTCTTTACATTCTAAAATGATCGAAGTAATTCAAAAAAGTATTAAAAATACCTACTATTGATTTTTTAAAACTGAGACGTCTTTTTTATTAAAAAACAATTTGTATAAACCTTATACAAAAGTGTTTTATAATTTTGTTGCAGTGAAAAAACAGTTTTTTAAAATAAAAAGCAAAATTATTTTTTAAATAAACTTATTTTTAATGTTTTTAGTGTTGTAAACACTTTGCTTTTATTTACTATAAAAATTATATATACACGTTTTAGGGTATTTTTGTCTCTAGATTCCAATCACCGCAATTTTTATTCTTAAATCTGCATGTAATCCTTTGCTACCCTACAGCTTGGGTTATACGTATTTTACACGTAGGTTAAGATATTTACATATAAAGTTCTAAATTTTCTATGCCCTTATAAAATACCGTAGTTGTTTAAAGTGTTCCTTCTAAGTTTTTAAATAATAAAAACACTTTCACAAAATATAAAAAAGAACTAATAATTATGCTTTTCAAATAGTCAATTTTTTTTAATTTCCTAGAGTATGTACACCTTCTGCTCAATGCCATGTTTCAGCTCCTTCTAATTCCAGACCATCTGTATGCTTGGCCACGGATTAAATATGTTTGAGATGGGTTTGCTCAAAGAATGGTTTTTATATTCAAAACGATCATGGACCGGGACTATTAAAGGTTTAAATTGCCATTATGATCATGGACTAAAACCTATTATTTATATTTTTAAAATGTACCCAATTATACCCAAAACAGAGACCAAATGTCGCGACAAACTAACTGTTAGTTGCTTTTTGTAAGCTTTACTTTTTGTATTTCACTCTGTTGTACAATATCCTTTCAAAGTTATTGTAGAATATAAGTTTACTTATTAAGTATAGATTTATAAAAATATAGACTTTTAATTGTAACAAAATATTATATAAAATGCAAGCTTATGTAATTTAAATTAAATTTAAATAATTTATTTTAAATAATTATTCAATTTTACTAATAAAATAAAAAAAATCCCAATTAAAAAAAAATAATACAGTATGAAATATTATTTACGATTGCTAATATTTATCATATTTTTATGTAAACTCATTTTCATATGCAGATTTTTTTTTTTAATAACTTTAATATAAATTATTTTTAAACGTAAAAGTAAATTACGTTTGCTGGACAATTTAATTATGTAATGTGTTATTAAAAATAATTGCGGTAGAGATAGTTTTAAAAAATTAAATGTGGTATAAAGCAAAAACGGTAGTGGTGTAGTGGTAGAGCGTTCGCTTAGTAAGTGAAGTTTTGAGTTTGATTCCCACCACGTCCCTGGTACCGTGCTCAACTTGTTTCTCCGCGCAGCTGCTTTGTTCGTCAAGGTTTGTATTTCGGAGTTAAAGTGTTGAGAGTTAGAGGGTTGAGAAAAAAAAATTAACTTTCAAATGTAAAAGTAAATTGCTTTTTCAAATGACTTACTCTTGCATGTTGTAGGTTACTTTTTGATGTAGTCTTTTTTTTTTTTTTTTGTTCTTTATTACAAATATTTTTATACTAAAATAAAAATAAAAAAATCTACTTTTACATAACTTACATTTGAAAGTTAACTCCTTTTTATTTATAAAAGTTAGTTTACTTTCAATTATATATATAATAAATTACATTAATTGTGTATAAATGTTAATTAACTTTAATAATCATTAAAAGTAAACTGGTAAATACACAATGCAAGAAAAATGCTTTCAGAGTCTTAAAATAAATAAAATATCTTTTGAGCCAATAAAAGCTTAAAATAAAAAAAATTACCTTTAACGCCCATAAACTTCTATTTTCAAAAGTTGTTCCGATACTAAAAAGTTTAACTTTGACGCTTTTTAGTTGACTTTTCGTAATTTTATGCAACTCTTTTTCTATCTGCAAAAAGTTAAACGAGATATGATATTTCCTTTTGTTTTTATAAACGATAAGTTTTGCGGTATTTTCAGTCTATTTTTGTATATCTTACCATGTTGAAGGGTTGATATTGCGTATAGTCAAATAAACCAGACACATTTTTAATATTTATTTTATAAGGTTTAAACCTGGGGAAAACTTCAGCTCCTAATATAAGTTGCAATAAGCTAACATAAATTATAACATAACCGACGTTATAAGTAGCCATTTTTATTTGCCATTACAACTGAATATGTGCGCAAGGTGGGTAGAGCGTTTTGAAGTTACTTTTAAAACGCCATTTCAGTTCAATTTACCGTAAAAATAACCAATATCGGATACTGGATATTTACTATTTAGGACAATGACAATCAAAAAAATAAATAATCAAAAAAAATAAAACGTATGACTTAAATAATATATGTTTTAAATGATATAATTTATAACTTAAATGATATATAGTTATAACTTAAATAATATATAACTTATTATGTTTAACTTGTAATAATATCTAGTATATATTATTACATAAGTTCTATAAAATAACATACACAACTTATATAAAATTATAATATAATATAAAAACATAGGTACACTACTAAAAGGAACTTTTTTAATAAAAAGTTGGAATAAAGCCAAAAGCGAATATTTTTGTGATGAGAAATGTATATATATATATAAAAATGTTTGAAATAAATTTTTTTTTTTTTAATTTTTTTGCATCTATTATGGCAGAAAAACTGTCTAAAAAATGCTAAAAATTAAATAACTTTGTGACGTATCTTATTTTCCCTTATATAAATTTTCTCTCGTTCAAACTTTGTAGATTGATGCATAATGTTTGATTCCGGTTGACAGATGGATTTTTAATTTAAAGACTTATTTTAAATATAATCACGAATTATTGAAATTATGCTTAAAACACTTGTTTAACTTGTGAACTAATTTCTTAGTTGAACATAAATTTTTAAAATCCTATCTGTTAACCGAATTTCTCTAGTATACTGAACATACCCTGAAAATTTCAGTCAAAAATCAGAAGCCAATGTAAAGATATGACGTTTTAAAGTTACTCTAATATCACAAAAATAAAAAGTTGAAATCAGCACATTTATTGTTTTAAAAATTGGTTTCACTTGACTTTTATTTATCACTAAACTCTTTGGCTACAGAATTTAACTTTTTTCTTTGCTTTATACATATTTGTGTCGACTTTCTTGTGTCGGCATTTGTTTCACACTAGATTTATCAAACTAAATAAATGTTTTGACTGTTACATGGCCAGTCAAAGTTTAAAACATTCAAAATATCTTTACAATTTTTGTAACTCTTAAAAAATGCAATTTGATTATATTAAATGAAAGCGATTAAAATTTAAATAAAAATCCAAAAATAAAATTTTGACATTTTACTCCAAAACTTTTTATTTTATTTTATATAATATCATTATTTTATTAATTTATTATGGAGCAACTAAATGGTTTTTAGATTGCAACCACTTTTTTGTTGTTGTTGTTGTTGTTGTCCAAATATTTTTATGTTCATTAATTTACAGACAGAAAATATTTTTATGTTCATTAATTTACAAACAGAAAGTAACGAATTACATTTACTCGCGTTACTGTAATTGAGTAGTTTTTATGTGGATTTTTACTTTTTAAGTATTTTTTTTAAATGTGTACCTTTACTTTTGCTTTAGTATATATTTTTTTAAATATTGCACTCTGCTACATTTTAAATCATATACGTTACTTAGTAAAAAAAATTTATTGCGTATTACTAATAATAAGTAATACGCAATAAATTTTTTTTTACTACGTAACCTATACGATTTAAAATGTAGCAAAGTGCAATATTCAAGAAAATATATACTTAAGCAATTGTAATACTATTAGTATACTAATACTATTAGTAATTAATTTTACAGAAAGTATGAACTAATTTTTTTAGTTGATAAAAATTATCGCAGGTCTGTTACCTGAAAAATGGCTGTTAAAAAAGTAACGCGGTAAGGTTTACCTACCGCTAACGTTTAAAAGTTCACTCAAGTAACAGTACTTTTACTTGAGTACAAAATTTTATTACTTTTTTCACCTCGGCCAATACACATCATAAATATATAATATAAAAATAGCTAATAATTAATACCTAATAAATAGATAAATTACCATATTCGCATGCAAATTATAAAATTTGAAACATTTTGAAGACTTTCAACATTAAAAAAGCGATAAAAAATAAATTGAAAACTAATAATTGAGAAATAAGTTTGAGTAAAAAAAGTTTGACAATACAATAAACTTTAAAAAGATATTTTGCTTTATAAACTTAGTTATTACGGAAAAAATGAAAGAGTAATTAAATGGTTTCAAAGTTATTTATCGAACAGAAAACAATTTGTTTCTTGTAATGAACTTAATTATAAACAGTTTTTAAATGTTTCCTGTGGTGTTCCGCAAGGTTCCATCTTAGGAAGATGGAACTTTGCGGAATTCTAATATTCTAATATTATTACTTTAATATTTCTTATATATATCAACGATATATATAAGAAATAATATAAATAATACATAATACTTAGAAGATTTGATTGCATAAAGCATCAAATCTTCTAAAAATTATGTTTGCTGATGACACAAACTTATTTCTCTCTAACAGTGACATCTATCTCCTTTTCTCCATGATGAACAAAGAACTTCAAAACATATCTAAATGGTTTAAAAGTAACAAATTAACATTAAATATAACCAAAACAAAATGGATTTTTTTCCACCCGCTCTCCAAAAAACGTTTTCTACCTCCAAATTTACCAAAATTCTTATTAATTAAAAGAGATTCTGTAAATAAATACCTGGGGGTTTTTATTGACGAGAACATCACATTGGAATATCATATTAACTATGTTTGCTCGAAAGTTTTAAAAAGTATCGGAATTTTGAATAAGACGCGTACTCATTTAGATAAAAATAATTTAACTAAACTTTATTACTCTTTTATCCACAGTTATATAAGTTATGGAGTTATTGCCTGGGGTAGCACTGATCAAAGCAAGTTACAATGTCTCTATCGCCATCAGAAACATGCAATCCGTTTAATTAATTCTGCGAATCGGTTCACACATTCCTCAATATTTTTTAATCAAATGAAAATCTTAGATATATATAAACCAAACGTATATAAAAATTTATCTTTTCGTCACATGAGAATTATAGGGTTCTATCTGCCTTGTTTTATGTTCAAAGAATTTAACAACCAAAGTTTTAATTAATAGTTAATAATAAAAACAAACCACTTAAAAAATGATACATTATATATAAATTTTTAAGTGGTTTAATATAAAATATGTTAAATAATGAAATATAGATAACATAAGCAACTTATAATTTATAATTATAATGAATAACAGCTGTAAAACATGTATTAAATAAATATTGAAAGTTAAGTTCTCACAACATAAAAAAAGCACATAGAACTCTATAGTTCTAATGTGACGTTTTGTCTATATGTGGAAGCATGATTTATCTCCTTTAATTTTTAAAGATCTTTTTATTTTGAAATCATTAAGCAAGTTTAACATGAGGAATAATAATTATTTAAATGAACCATTCTGTTGAACAAAATTCAATCAATTTTGTATCACTTATTGTGCAGCTCATCTCTGGAACAAAATTATTTTGCCTAACTTCGATTTACCCCTAACTTATCCTGTTTTTAAAAATAAATTAAAAGACCACATTCTTTCTATTGAAAATATCTTAGAATATTTTTAATTTATTTTGCGATAAAAAACAAAATAATAATAATTTTTTTTGTCATGTATGTTCAAGTTATTGTCATGTATGTTCAAATTTTGTTTTGTACTTGTTTACAATTTATTTTCATTAATGTAAATACGATTTATTGTTTTTATATGATTTTTTACGTACTTTTATTGTAAAAAGGCGTTTTTATAATATGTTACGTACTCTCTTTTGTAAAAGACTTCTGACGATAAGATCATTGTGATCTTTTTTTAGAAGCCTAGTTTGTATTTGAAAAATATGTAATTTATATATTACGTCAAATGTAAACAAACAAATAAAACAAACAAAACAAAACAAAAAAAAAACAAAAAAAAAACTTATTTGTATTTAGCTTTAAGAGTGACTAAATCCTGATATGCAGATGACAATCGTAATACTTGAAACCAACGTTATGGGTATATATCGCGTATATCTTTTTAAATGAATAAATTACGATTATTTAAACACATTAATCCTAGATTACTTTTTCGGGTTACATTATCAAGCCATATAAGCTTATTCTTTTTGTAATATTATTTTGCTGTTGTGATATTTTATTAATAGTTTTATAATTTGTGTTTATAAATAAAATAAATTTATTTTATAAATAGTTTATAAATAAAATTGTTTATAAATAGTTAGTGAATAATATAGTTTATAAATAAACTTTATAGTTTATAAATATAGTTTATAGTTATAAAAATAGTTTATAGTTTATAAATAAAAAAATAAATTGTTTACAAATAAAATAAAATACATAAAATAAAATAAAAATGTGTTTATAAATAAAATAAATTTAAAAATAAAAATAATTTTTTTTTTTTTATTGCCTTTGCTCCATGTGCTCATTTGACTTAAACGCAAAACAACAAACAAACGTATGTTATCCATTTAAAAAGATATACGCGCCATATACCCAAAATGTTGTTTTCAAGTATTACTTTCGTCACCGGATATCAGGATTTAGTTGCTCTTTTTAGCTTTGAAGATGTATATTTTTTATCCAATTACGTTTATAAGATGCAAAGCCGCTTAGAGGAGGAGGAAACCAATGAAACAATTTTGCTCCAGACCCCGATATATAGAAGCTCCTAAAATTATCGATAAGATGAATTCAAGTTGATAGGGTTTAAAGAGTTACTACATTTCGACAGAGATATGTTTTATAATATTAAAAGATAGGAGCATAAATTTAAAAAAATTAAATAACTTTTTATATAATATTTTCAAGCCATTCATTTACATGTTAAAAATAACTTAACCACTTATCGGTCACGTTGGTTTAGATGTGGAAAGTTATTATACGCAAGCGCAGTGTCGAATTCAAATATTATAATTTTAAATATACAAAAATTTTTCTGAGTAGCAACAACATTTTTAAAGTTTAAGTAGTTATTATTTGCATATTTTTGATAGAATGAAATAATAATAAAGATAATTAAATTATTGATTCAAAAATGATAAAAACAATATAAAGAT